TCATCTGGAATCTACGAAAAGAAGAAAGAAAACAACTATTGGTCAGTGGTGGAAAACAGTCCTAATAAGGGAGTGGAAAAAATCCAACGATACCCTCTTTATAAAAAGGAGGAGTTAATGCATCAAAGACAGTCTCCAGAGTTAAGTGAACTATAGGATTACATGTGTGGATTAGCCGCTGCCAGTGACTTTTCTAATCACCGCCGTGCAGGAAGACCACTGTCTAAGAAACCCATTGTTCGAAAAAACTGTGTGACCTCTTGAGACTCAAGGACTACATTTCCAACTCTCATAACTTATATCAAGGTATTTATCTTTGCGCAAAATAAATTATCTCTCTCTCTCATTAATACTTCTTATCAAGAAAGAATTAGCTACGGTAATTGTAATACAACATAATTTGTATATAGCTAAAGTAGAATAATAAACGGGTACCATGTATATACAGAAAATCTGTAGAGTGTAATTCTTCTGATTCTTTCTTTCTGCTTCCATCCCGGAACCAAAAGTCCGCAAACGCGACTGTTTGCGTAAAGAAAATTAACAGCCAATATTTTTTTTTCTGTGTCTGTTTCAAGACACAGTGGTGTCATCCTGACAGGGCGCTAAAGAGGTGCCGATCCTGTGGTCACAATAACATCCAAATTAAAGAAACAACTCAAAAACATTTTCAAGAAAATCAAAACACACACAAAACATGAACATCACAACACACACATTACAGAATACATTGATACACTAAAACAAAAACTCACAGCCAAAGCAAGTAGACTCAAACATTATGAAAACAACAAAATAAATTATTCACAAACAATGAAAAACTTTTCTACAGACAAATCAGTACCAAAACAAACACTGATACACAGAACAGTGGCACACCAACAGAAGAACTCGCAATTTATTGATCTTTTCTTTGGTCCAATGCTGTTACACACATTGCTGATGCAGGTTGGATCGAGGAGGAGAACAGAAACTTGCACAACATACCAACTATGCCCTGTGCTGAAATAAACATACACAACTTCTGCTAACTGTTAACAGAACACACAACTGGAAGACACCTGGTGTAGACAACATTCACAATTTCTGCTACAAAAAGTTTACATCACTGCACCAGGAACTAGCCAAACATCTAACACACATCATCATCAATCTACAAGACATGCCAAAATTTCTTACTCAGGGCATCACCTACATGAAACCTAAAAACAACAATACCACAGACCCCACACAATACAGACCAATTACATGTCTTCCAACACTATACAAATTATTGACATCCTGTATTACAAACAAAATATACAAACATGTTGAAGAACATGACATTCTTACAGAACAACAAAAAGGTTGCCATAGAAATCACAGGGGATGCAAAGAACAGATCGGATAACAAACACTTTGGCAAAAGATTTTTATGTTCGGACAACGAACACATGATCGGATAACGAACACTTCACAGAATAAACACAAGAAGAAGCGACGTAAAATAATGAATACCGATTGGTTTTCCCTTGTCTTCGGGCAACAATTCGAAACTTTTCGGAGTGTGGGAGGCTCCATGGCATAAATTCCCATATGTAGACAATTACAAATAAATTCCCATATGTAGACCACAGAAAAGCATTTGACAGTGTTCCACACAGTTGGCTGCTACATATTCTACACGTGTACAAAATACATCCATCACTCATTGTATTCTTCCAAAACACTATGCAGCACTGGAGAACAACACTGCATCTCAGGGTTAGTAACACTTCCATACAAACAAACCAAATATTCATTAGGCAAGGAATTTTTCAAGGAGATTACTTGAGTCCTCTCTGGTTCTGCCTAGCCCTGAACCTATTATCCAACATGTTAAACAACATGCAATATGGCTACAATATCAGACATGAAAAAACAACACAGTTTACGCTGTCACATCTCATGTACATGGACGACATAAAACTTTATGCATCCACACAAAAACAACTTCTTCAACTCCTACAAATCACACATTCATACACTAAGGACATACAAATGGAGTTTGGCCTAGACAAATGCAAAACACCTCACATAGAAAAAGAAATCCTGAAGAAAGAAGATTTTGCACTTGGAAATGGAGACGTTATTGAATCCATGGAAAAGGCTAATTCTACAAGTATTTAGGATTCCAACAGGCCAAACTAACAGAACATACATAAATAAATCAAAGATTAATTAAAGAATACCAAAGTAGGTTAAATGCTTTCCTCAGAACACAGTTAAATGCAATAAACACATGTCATCGCAGTACTCACATACTCTTTTGGAGTGATACATTTGACTCGCACAGATCTCAAGCAACTCCAAAGGAAAACAAGAACAATGCTTACTAAGCATAAACAACATCATCCTAAATCTGCCACAGAAAGATTAACCCTTCCACATCATACAGGCTTGACACAACATATAAAAAGCATAGACAGCATTAAGCAATCGTGGGCTCGAAAGGCACTCCATGGCAGGCATCCTTATGACCTGGCCCAGGATTTTGTTGACAAAACTGCATCAAACAGCTGGTTAGATCAGGGATGCCTATTTGGGAAGACGGAAGGATTCATGATTGCCATACAGGATCAGGTCATAAATACTAAAAACTACAGAAAACACATACTCAAAGATACAACACTCACAAATGACACATGCAGAAAATGTCACATCATGCCAGAAACTATACAACACATCACTTCTGGTTGCAAGCTCTTGGCACAGACAGATTATTTACACAGACATAATCAAGTCAAAAATATAATATCAATACACCAAGAGCTTGCAAACAAACACAAATTGGTAGACATTCACGAACCATATTACAAATACAGTGGGTGATCGGTTAACGAACAGATCGGATAACGAACACTTTGGCGAAAGATTTTTATGTTCGGATAACGAACACCCCACAGAATAAACACAAGAAGCGACGTAAAATATTGAATACCGATTGGTTTTCCCTTGTCTTCGGGCAACAATTCGAAACTTTTCGGAGTGTGGGAGATGTCGACATCGACGCTCAAGCCGATCGGATAGTATTTCTCCGAACTTTGAAATCCTTCCTTGTAATTCCAGCCTTTTATTTTTCTGAGACACGAGACTGTCGGGTAGGCACTCGTTAAGTTTTGCGTCTGTTTTTCTTTTCGAAAGATGAGAGTATAATAGCAAAGGTAGAGAGTGGACAGAAGATACCTAATGTTGCTGGGCAATATGGAATAAACAGGTCTACAGTAGGCCTCAGTTCAATCTTATTTAAGAAAAATGCTGTATAATCAAAAAGACTCCAGCAGCTAAAGCAGTAACAAAAATCGCTTCTGAGAAATAAAGAACATCGAAGAGTTCGTAATGGAACCTGAAACGGATCTGACGACAGAAGAACGCCTAGAACTTTTGAATGAAGAACACCAAGAAACTCGGCAAGATATGTTTTGTTCTGAAAAAGAGGATTAATGTCGATATCTGTTATTAAAGATCCTTTGTAGAAGTGGGAGGATGTCAGAACAACAGTCTTAGAATGGCATCCAAACCATATTGAGGCTTGGGGACCTCTACAATTACAATGCTATTAATTACTTACGAAAAATCGTGAAGAAGAGAGAAAAGTAATCGACATTAGACAGATTCTTTAACCCTTTCAAAAGGAAAAAAACATTACTAATTAAAACGCAACACTGTGTATGTATGTAGTTTTATTATTACATATAAATAAACGTAGTAAGAAGGTATATATTTTTTATTTTTTAAGGTTTCCAGAACGAATTAATTAAATTCCCATTAAAATCTACGGTAAATCGATAATCGGTTAACGAACAATTCGGATAGCGAACAAAATCTTGGAATGGATTATGTTCGTTAACCGATCACCCACTGTACATTCCACAGACTGTATTAAAAAACAACACGCACAAACTGTACTACGACAGAGCCATAATCACAGATAAAACAATTTACCACAACAGACCAGACATCACACTCATTGACAAACACAATAAAATCACATACATTATAGACATAGCCATTCCAAACACTCACAATGTACAAAACACATGCACTGAAAAAATTAGCAAGTACACAGAACTCGCCCAGGAAATAAGGCATCTGTGGAGGATGGATAGGGTGCTTATTGTACCTGTTGTTCTCTCCTGTACAGGTGTGATACCACACACACTATACAAAAGCCTGGGAACATTAGAATTGAATAGAAATACATACATCACACTACAGAAGGCCACTATACTGAATACATGCAATATTGTTAGGAAATTCCTGAATACAGACAATGACACTGACACACACATTTTATTTTAGTTTTGTCTTGGTTGCTATGCCTTGACTCTGGTCTGGCATAGTACACAGCCACTGGTGTCAACCGAGTATAACCCACTAAACCCAGCATAATAATAATAATAGGTTAGTGGCATTACGTAATTCTATTAAAAGTATATCATACGTTTTTGAGGGGAATAACATTTTGGTATGCCATGTTGAGTCACGTTGAGTCATGGATGTGCTGCAAGTAGAAAAAAATTGCGGAACACTGGTTTATCCATTGGATCTATCTATTTATTTGATTAAATGTTGGCCTTTTTCATTTGATATCAGCTAGTGTTCCAGATCTACATTTTTTCAATAAGCTTTGTTTTTTGGTTTTATAAGACGATACTGTAACTATTCAAAAACTGTTGGCAATGTCTTTTTAATAGTGTGAAATTTTGTTAACAAAAAAATCTTTCTTTTTTTGAGGAAAACCTGGCAACTTAATATTAGATCTTTTTTGTTGATAGCAGCTGTTTTTCATATAGCAGATTGGAGATATTAATGCAGATGCTTCATGCATAAATTCTTAATTATTATGGTTCTTCTTTATAAAAAAAAAAAAAACATTTGAAATATCTTTTGATTCATTGTAATATAAAATCTCTTTTAAAGTTATTTTAACACAATAATATAAAGTTAAAATATAAATTTTATAAATGAAACAAACAAACCTCATCTTGAAATAAATCATGGGCAGCATTACTAATCCAAACAAAGAGGGAAATTTGTTCAATGCTTGTATAAATGAAGGACAAATACCTATAAATATTTAATAGTAAAATAATTTTTCTGATTTTTTAGTCTTTTTTTTAGAGAAATTTGATATTTTATAAAACTTTCTAAAAAAATTATAATCTAAAAAGTCCTTTTCAATTGTTGCTAACACATTAACACCATGAGGTATCATTTGTGTGTCTCACTAACACTTTCTCTTGGAGCTTCAAGGTAGATTTTGGTCTCAATGACTGATCACACAATATGCTCCATGGACTACCAGTAATACCTCAGAGCATTTCTGTAAATATAGTTTAATTAAAAAATGCAAAACAAACTTGTACCAACCTGCAAGTGAGGCACAGTATATACAATTCATAGCCTGTATATGTAAATTAGTGTTGCAACTAATAGTATATTCGGCCTCAGGCCGAATACCGAATAGCCGAATATTCGGCCAAACTATTCGGCTTGATTAACGCACGTACGAAAATTGGCGCGCAAACCGCATTATGGCAAGGATCGTGTATCCTGCTCTCTATTGGCCCACTGTCACTACGCTTCGCCAATCGCGTTAATTCTTGACAGTTCAGACAAGAGCGTCATGGCAGTGTGATAAGTGATGATATCAAATGTGGATAACAATGAAATGACTTACATGCGCAGATAACGGAAGAAGAACAGAGAAGGACCGCAAAGTGAAAATGTGAAAATAAATATGAAAATGAGTTGATAACATAATCGAACAAGTCGATTATGTTATCAACTCAATAAGCTGCTTCGAACAAGTCGATGCAGCTTATTTGCACGAAATTCGCGGCCATGAATGCCAAATAATTGTTGTCATAGACTTCGAAAAGCTAAATGCTTGTAATGAAAGTCACTTAGCGTGAACGGGCAAAAGCCTGGGGTCGTTCGGGCTACCGAGCAGTTTCAAATCTGTGAAATCATAACTGTGACTTACACCGACGTCCTATCTGTCTCTTTTCTCCGTTATCACCAGGCTATGAGTCACGTAATTGTAAAATGGGAAATCTACGACGGAAAAGTGACAAATCGAAAGTATCGTGAGGGCGTAGTATGATGTATACATAGGCATACGTGGACTAGAGCGATACAGGAAAGAGAACAGAAGAGCAAAGATGAGCGCTTAAAAAGAAGGATAGGCAGGGTCAGACCTTCAGATGTGCGACGATTCTCGAACGAATAGGTGTGTACTGTACGTGTGCTGATCTTTGTAATTATAAATTGTGAATACATGTGACTAATATTATTTTCTTTATTATTTTGTGCATGTTATAAGTTATAAATAAATATAAACAAACAACACTAGCCTGATAACATTAAATCTAAATACCAAAATGATTAATTTACTGTGTTTTTGTTATTTCTTACTCGTGTTTTTAGGTATTCGGTATTCGGCCGAATAGTGATTAAATATTCGGTATTCGGCCGAATAGTGATTAAATATTCGGTATTCGGCCGAATAGCGAAAAATAGGCCGAATACCGAATAGTAACCGAATATTCGTTACATCACTAATGTAAATTCATTCACGTAAGTCTTGAGACATATATGTTGTACCTCAAACAAAACCTTCAAAATTAGTATATTTTAAAAAATCAATTCAAAGAGCAAATTTGGATTTTCTGATATGANAGGCCGAATACCGAATAGTAACCGAATATTCGTTACATCACTAATGTAAATTCATTCACGTAAGTCTTGAGACATATATGTTGTACCTCAAACAAAACCTTCAAAATTAGTATATTTTAAAAAATCAATTCAAAGAGCAAATTTGGATTTTCTGATATGAAATTAACAAAGCTATAGAAAAAAGAGAATGGGGGGACACAATTTTTTTCAATGGTAGTAGTTAATGTGTTAAGCTGTTTATATCATAACATAATTTTCAACTTCTAACTAAATTAACTGAAGAAACCAAAAAATATTGTTATGAAATGCTGCTTGGAAAGATTGAATTATAAATAGATAATAATTAAAATAAAAAAATTTCTCAATCAGTTCTCAAAATCTGAATTTTTTTTTTCATTTTTGATTCTCTCTACTCTGTGTACAATAAGGACTTTTTAATCATATCTATCATGGGCAGCGGGATAGTGAGAAGTGGAGCCCAACATATCTGGTACAGACCACCTATGGGAAAATTCTATTCTATCCACCCATATTTCATCTTGAGTCCCCAGAGTGCTAGGCTGTCACTTTAATTTCCTTGTCCATCCTGCTATTGAATCTGATCTTACAAATTATTTTGATCATATATATCTTCAGTAAATTAATTTTCCTACGAAACTAATATTTAAATAAAGCAAAATTCATACTTACCTTCTGAAGAAATTGAGAAGAATTGTTTACTCAAAACAGACAGAGTTAAAGCAGCAACATATGATGGAATTAAGAGTACATAAAATTTAAAGAACTATAAAAATAAAATTATTATTATTATAAATTTCATAATTTAAATTTTTATTACATAAAACAGTAGCATAAAAATATAAAGGACCCCACACTTTTCTTATGGAAAATAGTTTTAGATAAAATTGACTGAAAATGAAACATGTTGTAATTTATGAGGTCCTGTCCTAAAGTTCCAATAAAATGCTCAAAAATGTATATTGTGTATTTTGAAAACCTATAGCAAGAAAAATGTCCAAGATTTTGACTAGTATGTCCAAGTTGATGAAAACATCCTTTTCCACTGAAAAGGATCAGTGGAAAACATCCTTTTCCACTGATCCTTTTCCACTCTACTACCAGTGTTTCAATCACAACTCATTTCATAATCTTTTCCCCATCCCACAACATCTCCTTTATCAATCCATTTTACCAACTCATGCAGTCAAGGTTACCCATCCCAGTACATTAAAATAATAACATTGTAATTTGACCAACTTAAAATCAGGAAGAGAGTTTGTTTACAAGTCAATAAAACAATTAACAACTTGTTGACATTAGTAGTAGTAGTAGTAGTAGTAGTAGTAGTAGTAGTAGTAGTAAATCAGTCAGTCAGTATGGGCTACACTGACCATCTACCCTGATCTTAAAAATAACACTTTCCTCTCAAATTTTATACAAAGCTGATGTTAATTGGTGTAAGCTGAGATAATTGACAGGGAGTTTCTTAAATTTAATATTCTTGACTTTTTGAATCAAATAACAATAAAATACACACAAAAAAAGCACTATCAAAATTCCAGGAGTATTTTATGTCATTAGAAAAAAGACAAAATGAAGAAATTAAACATATAATCAGTTTTTGATGTAATGCTGACAGTTTTGCAGTTTTAGAATAAAAACTCGTTCTTTTTTTTTAACGTGCCCTCTAGAGAGAGATGTATAATCTCACTTAAACCAGCATGTCAGCATTCCTCTGGGACAAACCAGCATACCAGCTTTTATCATATGGAAGTATCTGATTTCACGGTCTCCCCAGATAGACCAGCATGCTGATCATTCTGCAAAAATACAATATACAGGTAGCCCTCGGTTTACGCCGCAGTTCCATTCCAACAAACGCCAGCGCAAATCGAATCGGCGTAAAATGAACCCATATTTACAGTGAGGTATAGGGTTAGGTTCTACATAAGTGAAAAATCAGTAAATAATTTTGTTTATTAATACAATATAATACAAAATACAAATAAATTTAATTTTTAAAATGTATTTTATCATAAAATAAAGTGAAATAAAAATTTTAGTTTCGGATCTCTTTTCGAAAAAAGTATCCATCTTTAATTGTTTACACTTTTGTTTTCTTTCATTGAGAATTTCGGAATATGGTCGAATATGATGCTGCTTTTTACATTTGCACTTCGCTTCAAATCATTGTCTAACTCACAAAGTTCATCCGTCAAACTTTCCTTAGTTGAAAGGATATGTTAACCCGACGTAGAGCTACAGACGAGCGAAGACACTGATTGGTCGACCACTGGTCGGTATAAGGTCAGTTTGAGTGAGAAAATTCAAGGTGGCTATGGAGAGAAAAATATTGTCTGGCCAAAGAGAAGTAGATTTGTCTCACTAACGATAGTTTGTGATCACCGGAAGTGCTATTGCATCGTGAGGTGTTTTCTTGAACGAACTGATACGGGATACATTCATTGGCGCTATGGATTAGGATGCCATTTATTGGACTTTTAAGTTTAATATCTTGACTCGTGGGTACCTAAACGTTTAGTATTTTAATATTAATTTAATGCAAATGTATACATACCCAATAATATTAAACAGAAAAAATAAATATATTCAATAAAAATCTTTGTTTTAACGAATGTACAATGTCGCGGCTCGGTAAATACGTTAACACTGAAATGAAAATGAGTCTAGCATACAGAAAATCGGGAAATTTCACTGCGAAACGGCAAATTGCAAAGCGGCGTTATTGTGAATCAGCGTAAATTGAACCGGCGTAAACTGAGGGCTACCTGTATATAATTTTTTTATTTATAAAATGCTCTCTTTATATACAATACAAAAATAATTTTATTCTAACCTAAAAACCCAAAATAATTATCAGAAAAATATTTTATTAAATAATGTCAGTTTACTTACTTTTGATTAATGAACATTATATTCACATTTACATACAGGAAATAGAGATTTTTGTTCTAGCACAAATATAAACTAATTGAATTGAAGCAATCAACTACTGCATGAAATGATAATCTTGTTCAGTGTTTTTATAAAAATTCATATATTTGGTGCACAAGAATAGTGACACAACTCAAAAAAATAGTTCTTCCAGAATAGCCATTTAAAAGTTTCTTTTATTTCTGCAAGGCTTTGTCATGATCTTGGATTTTTAAAATTTTCAAATCTTTATTTCCAAAAAAAATTGAAAATTTTAAAAATCCAAGATCATGATACAGCCTTGCAAAATTAAAAGAAACTTTTAAATGGCTGTTCTGGAAGAACTATTTTTTTTAGTTGTGTCACTATTCTTGTGCACCAACGATATGAATATTGCTACCATTTAATCCTTCTCACAGACCTATGTTGGTGAGAATTAAATGTTAGAAGTGATTTGGTGAAATGGTATTGTTAACAAGAATGTTTCTGAACAGTTTCATAAACATCAAGAAATATCACTTTTAGACAAGCAATGTTATTGGTAACTCTATTTCATATTGATTCACTTGTTTCATTGTAATTTTTAAATGTAATTACAGTATCATCCTTTTTCATAAATTCTAATATATTTGTTATAAATATTATGTGAAATATTTTCATTACTTTTGTTAAAGATCATAATAATTTTGCTTTTACAGCATTTATTTTCTTTTCCTAATTTCTGTATTTTTTTTCTTAAAATTATTTTGCTGTATATACAATAAATACTTGTAATACTTATGTTCTTTGTAAACATTCTAATTACGATTATTACATATCTAATCTAGTCAAAATAATATGAAGCTGAATGATCAGTTTCAATAATGTATTGACACAAACTTAGAAAAATAATTTTTAATCCGTATGTTGATTCTTTGTATTTATTAAATTTGCATTAATAAAAACTTACTAAAAAGTGAAGATGAACTTTTTGAAATTTCTGAAGAACTAATCACTAACCTATATTGTATATTGTGAATTAACTTATTCTATTTTAAAGAAATAAAATAAAGAAATATACCTGTTGAACCATGTGAGCAATTGATGTATGAGCTGTCAGACTATAACCACATTCAGGATCTAATATTAAATGCAGTTGCACATGATTATCAACAAATGACATCTGTGGAATATTTAATTTCAGAGGAATTTCAGTATGTGATCTACAGGAAAAAAAAATATATCAATTTAAAAAATTTATAATTCAATGCATAAACATTATGAAAAAACTGCAATAAATTATCAAAGGTCTTGAAAAAATTTCAAAAAATTAATAATTTATTATTTTTTTTATATTTAAATTTATATTTCATAAGAATTGGTATTGCAAGATAATTTAAATAAATGTTTTTCCCACATAATTTTAAGCTTACAAAAATGTTAAACACATGATTTATCGTTTGATCTTGAAATTTGGAATATGTAACAAAATTAGAAAATATATCAATAATATTGTGACTGAACAGTCACAATATTAATTTTCTAATTTTAATATTTACCTAATCATATTGCTAGTTTTTGAAGTGAAACTTCTTTGTTGGCACGTGTAAAATTAATGAAGTTGAAATAGCATTTCTGCCGAAATTGTAATAAAATTGTGTGAAGGGTTATGTTTAGAACCATGATCCTTTTGACTTTTGATTGTTTAGGGAGGTAATACAGTGGTGTCTCATACTTCAAATTTAATTCATTCCAGGAGGCTGTTCAAAGTCCAAGTCAATTTCTTCCATTAGAAATAATGGAAAGTGAATTAATCCATTCTCAGACCATAACAATATCCATTTCAATAAACAGCAAACATATAATTTAAGTTAAAAATAACACAATTAAATACTCTAATAATAAATTAAAACATGAAAACAATAAATGAAATACATACTGTATAATGTACCATTTGCACTCTGTTGACTTTGTCATCTTAAACATGGCTGCCAGATCTACTACATATGTACCACTTTCATGCTTTGCAATAAATTCCTTTTACATCTGAATAGTCAATATTACAACTTTCTTCTTTAATAAGCAATAGTTATATTGGGCTGAACAAAGTTTTTGCATATTTTTTTAACAGCTATTATTGCTTAACACAGATGTCTGATTTAATTATAAGAGTTGTCAAACTTAGCACACTAGCAAATAATGTGATATATATAACCAAACATGCCACAAATAAAGTGAAAAAGCATTAAAACATATAAGCATAATGTAAGAACAAGAGATGATTTGGAGGCACAACAGATTTTGCTTTGAGTGCATTCTTTCACTGTGTGTACACCTTGAACTTTGAAACATCATTTAAACTTCAAGTAAATTTTTGTCAAATTTAGCATTCAAACTTTGAAGTGTTCAAAGTGTGAAATTCACGATTTTTACGCTGATGTCGGAAAAATCTTTGTAAACAACTCCGATGAAAACAAAACACTCTCTGAGAAGTATATCGGAGGTCACCGATTGTTTTCACATTATGGTGGGAAAGTTGACAGTTAGTTGATCGGAATGCACCGTAAGTGTCAACAGAAGTCGATCACGTGACTCATTTCCCACGAATAACGTATAAAAGCTCAAGTCCCCGGAAGCTCCGGGCGATCCCTCGGAAGTTATACTTGGTAGATGTGCCATATTTGTCTCCATACTCCGGACCGAAAGGACATACGACCAACCACAGCTATTTGAACTTCCATCGCCATTAACGAACATATTCAACTAACGCATATTAGACATATCCGCATAGAGGTATTTGTACTTTTAGAGCTTTGTGAACTCTCTCTCAGACTAGCATGTAAAGCTATTAGAGCATCCCTTTTGTATAGTGAACTTATTTAATCGCATTTAACCTATGTATCCTAGCTTAGTTATATAAATAAATGCTTGTTTAGTTTTTAAACCTGTCTCCTGTCTCTGAAGGACACCTGCCGACTTACCGACGCACTCCCCACTCAAATGTTTGCCCTCCTAGCCATCCGACAAGCCGAGAACGGGTTTTACCTACCTGTTGCAGAGTAAGTGGTCATTTTGGATGAGCCCAGTGGCCCACTACTAATCTCACAAAAGTATGAGGTACCACTGTATTTTGATTGTCATTATACTCATTCATTTTCCTTTCAATGAACAGCAACTTTATCACATTTCCTTCATTCATACAATTTCTCCATAAATTTCATAGATTCACAGCTAAGGAAACAAGTTGTTAAAGATCATCATAAGCAATTTAAGCTAGTTTCACATTCATTCTGCACTCCTTATAAATCCCTCTACTGTAGAATTTCTCTTCACCATCTTGAAAGTTGTTGTTTTCAAATACAAATTTTACTAATTCTATTTTCCATTCTTTTATTTCTTCTTCTTTTCTTAATGTTGAAACATTAAAAAAAATCATTTCTGCTTGTTATTGATGGATACATAGAACTAATATCTAGTCCTATAAATGCCAGGTTTTTTCGTTATTAATATCTTACTTAATTTATTAATTAACATGTCTGTATTTTGTATACTATATTTTGAATATTCTAGCTTACTTAGTACATTAATTTTTAAATATTTTTCTAGATTATATAAACAACCTAGTTCACTATTTATTAAAGGTTGCATTTTATCTCCTATTTTGCATGTTTTATTTCTTAACTTTAAAATTGGTATTCTAGTATTAATGTCCAACATATTACTTTTCTCATTTTCCATTATAATTTCCTCATAATAAAATTCCGTAATCTTCTTTTTAAGTTTCTTTTTAATGTTTTCAGTTATCTTAAATACAGTAGAGCATCGTTTATCCAAAAGTCGGTTATCTGAAACGTTAGTTATCCAAAAGAATTCCAGTTGGCAAATTTAAATTTTCGTTAGTACTGTGGTGCTGCAATCTTTGGCTATAACTTGGGCTACTCCAATATTTTTTTTTGTTGATGTGTGTGTTTTAGCTGGCAGCACTGGCACTTTTGTGTGGTGTTTTTCTAAGGACTGTGTGTCATGCTGAATCGAATGTTTTTAATATTAGATTAACTTATAAAGTATAATTTTTTGTTTTTATATTTTTCAATATATTTATTTTGTTTGTAAAAAATAAAGAAATAATTTTTAATGATACAATAGCCACGATCATTTTAAAAAATTTACATTAGGCTTAACATCGACGAAAATTCAACACGAAGCAACACGCAACGGAGAAAACTTTCAACATGGGATAGGTTAATATATTTTTTTGTACATAATTGGTTATCCAAAAAATAAGTTATCCAAACAACTGCAGTCCCCAATTGATTTGGATAAACAACATTCAACTGTATGTTACATGTTTGATTATATTCTATTTTGTTTTTCTATTTATAAATACATATATATCAGTAGATCCTCCTATAACACTGTTGATAATTCCATGTTGTACGAGTCACTTAGATTTTACAAATACGTGAGCTGTTCACAGCCCAGCACATGTATTTGTGAAATCTAAGTGACTCGTATAACATGGAATTCATATAACACGGAATTATCAACAGTGTTGTAGGGGGTCTACTGTATGTAATTTTATTCTTGAAATATATTTTTTTAGATTTATTTTACATTCAAGCTGGAACCTAGCTGTTCAATGTTAACATTGCACATAACAGCTGATTTTAAAACTTTTACAAAAGTTCTATTTAGGAATTTAAAATGTTTCTTTGATGGTTAGATTTAAATGTATGGAATATAAGTTCCATTTCTAAAATTGGCCTATGTTGTTTAATACTTTTTTCCTGAAATTTGGCATTAGATATGTCTGAAAACATTTCCATATATAAATAAAAAACTTTACTGGAAAAATAAGATGTAGAATTTTATTAATGTCACGAGGATTAAGTCTTTCAGAATTCTTATATATAACTGCAAAATAAACTAGGAATTTTATGTTGTCAGGGCCTTTCTTGAATAATAAAACATTTATAAATATCATCATCATAAATTAATAAAAATTTATTCTTTATTTTAAAATGACTTCAATATATTTTATTTGTCTATCCACCATTCTTATTATCTTTATAGTAACAAAATTTTTAGATTAAAACTTCTCTAGTTGCATTTTTTCCTTCTGCAAAATTTTAAGATGTTTTATATTGTAAATATTTTTATATTTAAATTGAAACCTGATGAATCTATGAGAGTTTATGTGAAAAATATAAAATTGTTTTCTGTTAATCTTGAATAAATAATTAATATCTAAATTCACAAATATATATATATGTAGTGTATTAAAAAATGACCTTACTGTGCATTCATTAATATAATTTTGAAACTTTATATGAGGAAGAGATATATATGTAGTATAAAAGCTATACAATATAGTCTTATTGTATCCTTTCTCATACCTCAAGAAATAACAGTTTTATGGCAGAATTGACTTTTTATTTAGAGGCCACTCATACCCTCAATGTGCATAACATTATAAAAATTCCATCTGGTGACAGCACAAAGCATCCGGCTCTGATGAGGCAGATGAGTAGTCTCTTAATAAAGGCCGACTCCACTTAAAACTTATTTCCTGAGGTGGGAGAAAGGATGCACAAACACTTTTTATTTATAATCTTTTATATTATATATATATTTTGTAATTTACAATTATCATCCTGGCAATTTTATTAAGTAAATATTTATTATTATATGATTATATATATAATAAGTAATACATACTTGATCATATAAAAATATTTTTCTTTACTCCATGGAATAATTAACTTAGCAATTCCTTGATCTGAAAAATTAAGTGTTTTGTAATATATAAATTATTACTTTATGTATTCAACTACTTATATAAATATTTTCCTTACATATAATTTTGTTATAAAAAATAAAAAAATTGCAAAAATGAATTATGTTTTAAATTTAATACTTATTTATAAATAATATGCAAATATAAATATTAATAAAAATAAAATTTCTATAAAAATAGTCAATTAAAAGATGATGGATATGAAATTTAAGATTGGTCTGAGAGCCTAAAAAACTAACTTTTCTAAATTCTAAATGTTTAGTAATTTTTATTAAATTGAAATGATTAGATAGAATAAATATGATTTTATATAAGATGAATTCTTCAATTTCTACAAACCAGGTAACCAGTTATATTACCTGGATTCATAAACTAATTCTTGCCTATAGATATTTTTATAATTTACAACTACAGATATCACTTGATTAACATGGTTTTGCTTAATGCAGGATTTAATTAACGCACAAAATTAATTACAGTACAGATAACCCCCGTATAATATGGCACTTCTATAGCACAGATTCACTCTAACACAATTCAAGAATTGGGAACATCCCTTGTATAACACGGTGGTTTTATAGCACGGGTTCACTCTAACACGGTTCGGGAATTGGGTAAAACCCTTGTACATGAAATGCAATAAAGGGTGCGTTCTTTTATACTTCCGTGTAACTCTGTGCGCGCATTCTAATTGTTTTTGTGGCTACTTTTAATTCTCTTTCAACAATAATCCATTTAATGGTTAAATTTTACAATTGGGACCCTTCTTTTGACTTTAAAAGCTCATTTTAGAATTATAGATTCCGCCATCATGATACTATCAATAGTGCAGGCACCACCATTTTTCTTTCACCGTTGTTCCTAAATGCCTACAAACAGCAGCGCACTCCCATTGCAGAGCAACCACACTTAACGAACGCATCCAAAAACTGTTACCAGTTGATGATGTTCATGCTGAGATCATCATATAGGATGAATAATCCTCTGGTAAAATATTTACTTAAATAACAAATAAGTATTTTACCTATGAAAAAACGAATAATAAATCTGATTTAAATAAGGATTTAATAGCATGTTTTTTAATTTTTGGAACCTAACCCCCTTTTCACACTAGTTCTTTGTTTTGTATAACACAGATTCGCCTAACACAGCAATTTTTTGGAATGTAACTCCCATGTTATACGGGGGTTACCTGTAATTCCTTTTTATATGTGTAAAAAGTTTTAATTAGTGAATTTGTTATTTTCATTTATTAAAATAAAAATATCTGTTATTAACTGAAAACTTGTTCTAGTGGATGGTGATTGTTTGAGTACTGAGGTCCCTCTGTATTTGATTAATGTGATTTTGATATACGTGATAGCATCGAGGAATTAATTAACCACATTAATCAAGGGATACCTGTATACAGATTCTCTTCTTGTATAAGTAGATTGGACTTCAAATCAATGTATTTGATTTAAATATTTTACATTTAATTTTAGGCTTTGATTTGTACTTTCTGTATGCTGTATATAATAAATATAATAATAATAATAATAATCTATATATATATATATATATATATTAATATATATAATTGAACATGAAATAGTTTAATAATAATAAATACAAACATATTTGTATGTATTTAACAAACAGCAATCAAACAACACTATAGTAATAATGAAAGTTATAGATGACAAAGTTTTATTTATTTGTTTATATTCACTCAATAATGCTATATAGCAAGAGATCACTAGCCTAACAATAAAATTAATACACTCCAAAAAAACAAAAACAACAATTAATGACAATAAATAAATAAAATACATGTAAATTATTAAAAACTAAAAATACAAAATTAAAAAAAATTACAAAATGTATAAAAATTTATAAACTATCAATACATGTAGTTTGTAGAATTCATCAGAAATTAATCACAAATTATAAATAAATTCATATCCAAGTAATTTAATGTTATATCCCAAAAATACTTTGAGAGAATAGTTAAAACAATATTTTAATTTAATTAAAGTAGTTCTTGCAGAAAATAATTCATCCTAACAAGCTAGATATTACAATGATTAACAGAGATCATAAAATTTGCTTTATTTTTTTAAAATCATAGTTACTATTTTAATGTTTAAATCTAGCATGTTTGATTTGTAGTCAATCTACAGATCAAACATGCTTGATTTAAACATTAAAATTAAGAATTAATGACATGAGAAATGTGGTGATAATGTCTATTCTATTCTTTCTAGGAGTAGATAATTTTTAGAATTCTATTTATTCCAACATTTTGTGGATTGACCAGCATGCTGCATATAACAAGGGGAGACCAGCATTCCAGAAACCATGGTGTTATTAGCATGCCAGTTAAACTGTAACTAAAAAATTAAATTAATAAGATCCAACAAAACTAATTAAATAAAACATTCTTCCCAGTACAATAATATAACAACATTGTAATTTGACAAATTTAATGAAATTGTAGTTCACTTCATGCCAGCGTTTAGAAATTAAAAATATGACACTTCCGTGTTGCGGCGTTATTGACAGCGATTTGTTAAATTTCAGACGTGCTCGCTAGTACTTTCAACAGTTTACAACCATCGTCTTCAGGCGAAATCGAATACCTTTGTTTTCAAATTGACAGCTTTTAACGGACTTTCCAAATTACGTAATGCGCGTGGTTGGAATATAGAACAAATTAATAAAATTGAATAAATAAATATTCTTTAAAGAAACCTGCTGTAATAACTTGAACTCCCCAAAACATATAAATATTGATTGATGGTGCCGTGCATAGTAATGGAATAAAATCAGAACACAAAATTATAACTTGGATTGTTTAAATAAAGTTATCCATAGCTGTGGTATTTCCAATGTCGGTGCATTACATGGCAAAGCAGCGGATATATAAAGGTTTTCCCATATGAATATTTGCCTACGATCATTACAATGCTTAAGTAATTTAACATGGTTCCAAAGTGGAAGATAATCTTGTTCTAGCACCTTTTTCGCTAATTCTGTAGCTGGTCTATTATTTCTAAT